TTCACCCAGATAAAAAAAACATTTAGATTTGGGAAACACAGATAACCCACAGCCCCGATGTTCCCAACTTTCATTGTGAAAATTATTATTTTTAATGAAGGCAAAAGTAGGTTTTTAAAAAAATAAGAGGTTGGGGTTTTTTAAACCCCGGGACATTCTATTTATTCAGAAAAAAGTCTGTAATTTTCCGTCTGTCTCCGTTAGGGTTTTTCAAATTAAAATTTTATTTACAAAGGGTGGAAAAAAATCCTTTAAATTTCCCCTTAATTATCCAAACCCGGGGTACTCCAACCCTTGATAACACATCAATTTTGTGTAGGGCTTTAAAAAAGTTTATTAATGTAGGCAAAAATGGCCCCCTTTTTTCTTTAAACAATGAATTCCCTTTTTCATCCCGTAAAAAGATTCTCATTTCAAGCATAAAAAAGAAAAGGAAAGCCCTTAAAGCCCATAGTACCCCAATTTAACCGACCAAAAAGTGTCCCCACCAAAATTCAAACAAACCACGCCCTCGGGGGCCATCCTTCTTGCCCGGCCCCTTTTTTTTTTTATTTTTTTATTATTTATCCAAAAGAAGTTTTTTCATATCCTTTTTCAGGACCCCCGGGGGTCTTTTTTTGCCACATGGGGAATATGTGGTCATTCGGGTGCCAAGGACTGCGGGACAATTTGAACAGAAATGTCCCCCCCTCCTGAAGCAGCGCTTCTCCCCCATGTTTTTAAAAGGGGGTTTGTTGGGGAAAAATTCCCCGAGTATAATGGGAATTTTGGGATGCCCCGCCTCTAAACAAACAAAGCAATAGAGCAACCCTTGCCTAAGAGGTTAAATGGGCATTCAAGGGTTTAAAATCAGTACCCGACAGGCCCCGGGAGGAAGTCCTTCAGGGTTTTTCTCAACCAACAAGCGGGTCTCCTGCACAGCCTTTAAATTTACCTTTTGGCTAATCGGACTATGACCCCGCCTCGGTCCCCTTGGCCAGCACCTGAAATTTTTTTGTTTAACGTTGTTCTTTCATGCAAACCCCTGTCAAAACAGGGGAAAACTGTGGGGGGGCTATTCACATGTATATTAATCCAATAATCCTTTTTTGTGCATATTAATTTTTGTTTTTTTATTTAAAAAAGCTTTGGCTAAAAAGCCTCAGAAGGGGATAAAAAGAGAGGAAAAAAAAGGAAAAAAGAACAGAGGGACAGAACCTTTTGGGGGCAAATAAAGAATTTTTCTATTTCTATTAAATTTCCTTTTCTGTAGAATGGGAAATGTTTTTATTTTGGGTTTTTTTGTTAGGGGGGGGGCCCCCCCTGCCCCCTTTCCCTTTCCCAAGGGCCCCAATTTCCCTAAATTCCCCCCTGGGGGATTTTGACCATCGGCAGGAAAAAATTTTATTTTCAGCTGGCTTCCCGAAACCCCCAAAGGATTTTGGGCCCCGCTTTTAATTTAAAGGGAAAAACTCAATTTCAGGTTTGGGTTTTGGGGGTGGGAGTGGGGAGATTAAGGGCCCCCCCATTTCTTTTGACCAAGGGGCCCCCCCAGGGCCCCGGCCCGAACGGGGGGAACCCCTTTTGGGGTGCTGGGCCCTAGGAGAATTTGCCGGTTTGATTCTCAACTTTAGGGCTGGCAAGATGGGGCCCGGAAGCAGAAGCAGCAGCACCCAAGTTCATTTGGGTCTTGCCCGTTAAAAACTGCTTTTTTGCTTCTGTAATAATGCTGATTTGGGCCTACAGGGTAAATTAAACTTTACGATGGGTAGTTGGGAAAAGGGTTTTTTGGTTTTTTTTTATTGTGGGTTTCTGCAGGCTCCTGGGATCACACAAAAATTTTAAAAGGGGTGCCCTGGACCAAACAGAACTTTTTTTTTGGTCCCCCTTTTTTCTTTTAAAAAACAAATCTTCTAGGTTTTTAAAACATCCCTTATTTTCACCCTTTTCGTAATTTGGAAAAATTTTTGCTCATCCAAAATCAAAGCTAGCTTTCCCGCTTTTGTTGGTTTACTTGACAGTGTCACTTTTGTGGCCCTTTTTTTTCCCCATGACCAACCCCGCCTGGAATTATCAGTTGGCGTGATCCAAAAACTCTTCCCTTTCCCGGGGCCCCGGCCCCCCCCTCTGGATGTGTGAAAAACACCCTTTTCCTCTTCCCTTTCCCGATAAAAAAACATGTGGGTTTTTTTATTTTTTTTTTCTTTTTTTTATTTAAAAACTTTTCTGCAGGCAGGGCGGGATTTTTGTATTTTGGAGGTTTGTTGCACCAAATTTTATCTTTTTTGGTGACGATTTTTCCCAAATTTTTGAATTACACCCAAAATTCCCCTTCCCCCAAAACCCTTTTTTTGGAGGGGGGGGAAATTCCCGTACGTTTTTAAAATCTTTTTTTAAAATTTTTTTGTGGGCCAGGTTCTGTTTTCCCTTACTGTGGGTGGTTGTTGGGCCCTTCCCCCCAAACCCGGCCGCTAAGCGGTTTTGGGAAAATTTTATTTAAAAGGGAAGGCGTGAGGCTGCTCCCTTCCCCCTTCCAAAGGGTTTACAGGGATCACTCGGGGTTTTTCCCTTGGGGACAGAATGTTTATTTAAATTGTTGTGCTAAGTTTTTGACCAACCCCTACAGAACCTTTGGCCCTAAATTTTAAAATATCCCTGGGGAGGGGATCAGCTTGGGGAAGCTACTTGGGGGAGGGGCCCCATTTTCAATTTCTTCTACCCTTTTTGGGGGAGTATATCGAGGGGGATCCCCCGTGGGTGGGAGAGCTGGGGGGCTTTCGGCCCCAGCCAACCAACCCCCCCATTGGTGGGGGTTAAAGTATTTGTTTTTATCAGGTTAAAAAGGGGCCCCGGGATATCATCACCTCCTTTCTAAAAAAACATAACTGAACTTTTCCTTTTTTTTTTTTTTTCTTCACTTTCCCTCTCCTCCCTCCTTTTCTCTGACCTGCCAATTTCTCCAGACCCCTGGTTTGCCAAAGTTTCCCCTTTTTTTGCCATCAAAGTGGGCTTTTTTTTTGCTCTTTTTGTTTTTTTTTTTTGGGAAATCCCTTTTTTTTTGTGGGGCTCCCTTTTGGGGAAATTTTAAAACCCAAATTTTTTGATCCCAGTTGGGCACAATGGCTCTACCCTTATCCCCGGGGCATTCCCTTTTTTTGGACCGCTTTCCAATCTTTGCATGGATTTCTCCCAATAACTTTCCCGTTTTTTTTTTACTTTGCCCCTTTCCCCTTTTTAACTAAATTTGGGCCCCCGTGGGTTTTTAACACCTGTCGTGTTTTTAAACCCCTGGGGCCCTTTGACAAGAATGGTGACAACTTCTTTTTGTGGTTTTAAAACTCACTTCAACCTTTACGGGGGGTTTTCTTTTCTACAAACATCCACAAAAAACTCCCATTTAACCCTTGGCTTTTTGGTTATGAAATTTCAGATATCTAGTGATATCTTTTATTTCCCCCCCCTTTTACCACACACCACTCACACACACACGCGCGTTAAATTTTTTTCTTTATTTTAAACCCCAGAGGACGCCCTATCCTTTTGGGAGAATTAACTAGTTTCAACTCGGGGGAAACCGCCCTTAAAACTAGGGGAGCCTGCCCTCCCGCGGGGGCTTTAACTGTTTTAAAATTTCTGTTTTTAAACCCGGAAAAGAGTTAAAAATTTTCAGGGTTTTTAAATACAAAAGGGGGACCTCGTTACCCCCCGTGAGAAAGGAACCTTCCCAAAAAGGGGGAAACTCGGACCCCCCGCCCTTCACTTCTATCTTTTTTTTTTTTTTTTTATATTTTTATATTTTTAAAAATTTTTTTATATTTTTTTTATTTTTTCCCTTTCCCAAAAAATTTACTCCCCCTCCCCTTTTTAATGAAAAACTATCACAATTCTCTGACCTTCCCCTCGAAATGCTTTTAAAACCCTCGGGCCCCCCGCTTTTAAGGGGAGGGGGAAACCCGTCCCGTAAAAGGGGTTTTTCTTTGCTGCCCGGCCCGCAGGCTTTATCTGGGTCTCACCTACCTGCTGGGGTTTGTCGGGTATCTTTCAATCCGGCCCGAAGGACCAATTTAAAGTTAGGTTTAAAAACCCAAAAAAAATTTTATGCAGTAAACCTTTTACAAAAAAAAGACACAGAGAATTTTTTTGTATGATTTACTTGCAAGGAGAAGTGTTTAGAGAACTGTTCAGTTACAATTCCCCCAAACCACTCTGAAAAAATTTTTTCCCCTTACCAAGCCTTTTTTTTATAAAAAAAAACGCCCCCCGGCTACAATGTGGTTTTCCCCTGTAAGGGGAGGGGGGGAAAGGGGGGAAGGGCCCGTCGGAAAACCCGAAAGGGGGGGGGGGTGAATCCCAGTCGGGTTCAGAAAATTCTGAAACAAAATAAAACAATATCAGGGGAAAAAGAGCCTTTTTAAATTCCTTTCCTCCCGGTGTTTGAGGGGGTGCATTTCCCCCTTTTTTCTCCCTTTCTGGGGCCTTGAGCCCGCCAGCACTCCTCTGCACACACTAATAAAAAAGCATTTGAAAGAAAAGCCCAAATGAAACATTTTTAAAAACTTTGTGTAAAAACAAGGGATACAGGAATATGCAAATGTGTAAATATGAATGTATAAGTATAATATGATTAAAGTAGAATAACTTGTACAATTAATCCAACATATAGAAATTCTATTAAGATATTATTTATAAAAACCACTAAAGCATATAAGACTAGCATTTGTATTAACTAATAAGTTGCATAGTACATTACAGGTCTACATATCATTTATTGCCACAGTAAGAGCCTATGTAGAGGGTCCAAAGAGCCACATGCTGCTTCTTGTATCTTAGTTTGTTAGGACACAGTATGAGCTGGTGTTTTTTTAATATTTAGCATTTCCTGTCCTTTCTGTTAGCCTTTCTAGGCACTGCACACATGTTTGTCAGTCAGTGAGTCAGGGGTAAGGTCAAGGAAAAAATACCAAATGCATGTACTCTGGTCTTCTTTTTCTCACATTAAAGCTTATGAACTTTGCATTCAGCAGATGGGAAGGGAACCCCAAGTTGGCGGAGCAGCCTCAACACTTCATCATGGACCTGGTTGGCCTAAACCGATGACCCCTATGCTTAGCCACAGTGGATCCCATGCCAGCTCCTCTAGAGGCTCAGCCATGTCTGCTGTCCTTGCCCATGGGTCTACAAACATCCCCACATGCCCTGCTCATTCCCAAGAAAGAGAAGCTATCACCCGTTCCACTCTATGCCACAGAAATGAGCAGCTTGACTGGTAAACATTACAGTTAAAAATGGATAATCTCTTACTGCATTGCTGAATTTTTAAATGTTAACAGCAGCTGAGTTTAGGAAATGCAAAAAAAAAAACAAAAAAAAAACCTAGCCTGTGTTGCAGGCTGGTTTTGTTACATATCAGTAAACCATGTATGTTTTTATTCTGGCGATATTTCAGTGTTTATAATAGAAATCTTCAAAATATTTATGTTTTGAAGCTAGATATATGAATTAATATGTATGTATATATATATATTATATATATATATATATATATATATTATATATATATATATATATTTATATATATATTAATATATATATTATATATATATATATATATATTATATTTGTATATATATATATATATATTTGTATTATATACTATATTATATATTATATATATTATATATATATTTGTTATTATTATGTATTTCTCTTGTTAGTTCAATTTGGGGGCTGATCCAGGCCAACTAGCTCACCAAACCCTGCAGAAAAAAGACTCCAACCCAAGTTTCCACATTCTGCCTTTTTAGGACAAGGAAAGGGGAAATCTACCAAGGTATCCTAATTTAGTTTTTTCATTCTAGTAAGATTTTTTTTATTTATTTATGCCCAACCAATCTCATTTTAAGGGTTTAAATAAGGAAAATTCTACCAAATGCAAATAGAAATATTTTGTTGATATTTCTTTTATAATGTGTAAAATAATTTTACGTATGTCAATTTGTGAACTTTCTTTTAAAGATAGTGATATTTGTTTTTACAGCAGCCTTATTTTATATACAACTTTGTTAAAGGACAAATGTAAGTTGGTTTATGGGAACATGAGTTTTAAATTCGATCTCTAAACCCCTTTCTGCCTCTCTATAGCAAACAGAGACTAGGAGAATCACTCACATATCTGCGGAGCAAAAGAGACGTTTTCAACATAAAACTGGGGTTTGACACTTTACAAAACCTTGTAACCACACTCAGCTCTCAGCCAAGTATAAAGGTACACCAAACAGATAAAGGTATTAAAAGTGGAAGCGAATGAAAAATTGTAAATAGTAAAACGGTGTACTTTATGTCGTTTTAATCTCACAGATCAGCAAAGCCACGACCTTGCAGAAGACGGCAGAGTATATCAGCAAGATGCAGCAGGAGAGAGCTCAACTGCATGAGGAGGTTCAGCGACTCAGGGAGGAAATACAGCACCTGAACTCTTCCATCAAGTCAGAACATTAACTTCTAGAGAAATCCACCAGGATTACAAAGTTTCTTTCAAGACTGTACAGCACCATGAAGATGCATTTATGTGCTCTGTTGACTGATTATGTCTTTGTTTGTGTTTTGCACAGTGTTTGCCAGCAGCAGCTTCCAGCCACAGGTGTTCCCATCACGCGGCAACGATTTGACTACATGAGGCAAAAGTTTCAGAGAGTACGTCCGGGCTCAAACTTTACAAAACTGGAAGTTCTGGATTGTATCCTTATGTGTGTAAAAACCTTCTTTAACTCCCAAACCTTTGAGTACGGTGTACCATTCGTGACATGATTAGACATAAATAAATAAATTAAATTAATTAATTAATAAATAAAATTAAATAAATAAATAAATTACAGATAAATACAATCCACTGGTAAACATAATAGGTTGAAATTTAATAATAATAATTGAAACTTTATTGATCTCACACTGTAAAAAATTTACCTCAGCATTTAACCCATCCCCTTGGCAAGCAGTGGGCTGCCATTGTGTGGAGCCCGGGGAGCAGTAGACTGCCAGTGTGAGGTTTATGCTACGTTCCCACGGACGCAGCAGGAGCAGCAAAATTGCGTCTGCTGCTTAATTTTTGCTGCTTGTACCCGTTAGTTCTGACGTGCGGCTAAAGCAGCTTTGCTGGTCTTGCTTCGCAGTTCACCTCGGCGGGCTGGTAGGTGTTTTTCATCTAAAGAATCCAAACTGCAGGCATCAGGATAATAAAATGCGAACATATTCTGCCGGCAGATTCTGCATTTTAAATTCATTTAAAATGGCGGCGCCCCTGGCGGCAGCGGCTGGCATACAGCTCCGACTTTTCATCACAGCGCTGTGTGTTTTCATCACAGCGCTGTGTGTTTTCATCACAGCGCTGTGTGTTTTCATCACAGCGCTGTGTGCTTTCATCACAGCGCTGTGTGCTTTCATCACAGCGCTGTGTGTCCCGAGCCCCTAATATCAATCAAAGACCCCTCACACCCCACCATGGACTGTTCTCCCTGCTGCCCTCTGGAAAGAGGTTCGCAGGCCATCCGCTGCAGATCCACAGGTTGTGCAACAGCTTCTTCCCCACTGCCATCAGACTGTTGAACCTTTGATCCACAATCCGAACTCTGCACCTATTGCACATTATCGGGCATCAAATGCTGCTGAACTTTTAACTTTTAGCCCTTTAAATTGTTCATCTCATTGTATTTTTCAATAACGCATTTTTTGCACAAATGCCATTTTGCACTGAACCACTGCAACTTGCACACTGTCTCTTATCCTCTGCACTGTTCACACTTTGACCACTGCTGCACTTTTTGTATTTTTCTATAACTCGTGCCATTTGAAATATCAATGCAACGTTCATAAGCTGTATGTAACGCAATTTCGTTCTGTATGCACCTGTGCATACAAAATGACAAATAAAGAAGTCTAAGTCTAAGTCTAAGTCTATTTAGGCATCAATTAAACTGTTTCAGAGGGGTGATCACAGCGCTCTGTATCATCAGCGATGGTGTGTGTCTCACGGCCAGCTCCTGATCACAGTTCTTTGATTGGTTGACGCGGCGCTCGAGCGCAAAAGTTAAATTT